AGCCTTGTTTGGTTGTGGTGTCCCCTCAAAGCCTGGCCCCATCCCTTCTATCACTTCCGCCCATCCCAGCACCCTGAGCCTCTCATGTCCTCGGACTCCTCTTTGCCACTCACGGGGCAAGGCAGTCCCTTGCCCGGGACCACGGGGCGTTGGCGGATTAGCATCCGGGCTCCCTCACCCCCCAGGGGGACCACCGATGATGGTGGTGTGGTCAGCAGGTCCCAGGGTCCCCACAGCGGGCGTAGCTCTTGTCCGCACTGTTGACCGCCTCCTCCGCCTGGCCTCCCTTCCTCACCCCTCCATCTCCCCGCCCCACCCCTAGAAACAATAGGCACGCGAACCCCTGCGTCAGCGCCTGCCTCTGGGAAAACCCACATGAAGCCTCTCATTTCCCGTTGGGAGGTCTTGAGGGTGCATGTGGTGAATGTGTCAGGCTGCTAACCAAACAAGGCTGGAGTTCAAGGCCATTGAAGGCAAGTTGCAGGAAACGCCTGGGAACCCACTTCCAGAAAACGGGCCTCGCACTCGGGCCACGGTTCTGCCCTGACACACGAGGTCACCATGCAGCAGAATCAACTCGCCACCCACCATGGACTCACCCCTGCTTCTTGAGCCTGGTCCTGGCCCCAAACTCTTCCATCTGCTCCCAGCACCTCTCTGTCCTCATGCCCACGGCCATCCTGCCAGGTACATCCTCCACCCCAGGGTCCAGCCTCCCAGTTCTCGCCCTCCTTCCCCCGCAGCCATTGGCCCAGGGTGCCTTTTGCGCCTTGAGGTCTGCTCAGGCACGCAAGAACCATCGCTACATCTGGCCAAGTGTCTCCCAGCCCCGGGCCCGCTGCCCCAGCTACCTGATGGGAGGTAACTTGTTGAGGAGGGTTCCCGTGGTGGTGGGGGAGCTGGTGCGTGGTGGGCCAGACGTGGTGGAGATGGGTGTTGGGCCGGCCGAGGGGCCCTGGGCACTGTTGGGAGAGGGGGTCACTCTCCGAGACTCCGTGTGCCTCCTGTGTGCCCTGGTGGTAGGGCCGGTGTCAGGGAAGCTGTGGCCTGCCACAGGGGTCCATCCAGTGGTCCGTGGGGTGGTGGAGGGTAAGGGTCTGGCCAGGGTGAGAAGTCCAGGTGTGAGCAGGGTCATGGCGGAGGTGGAGGCTCGGTCCTTTGTCAAAACCACCGCACTCTGCAGGACTTTGGGCAGCCGGGTCAGAGGAACGTGTCTCTCCGTGGTGGGCGCTGTGGAGCCAGAGAGGAAGGACCCTTATTAGATCAACGTGGCCCCTGGGAGCGGGAGCAGTGGTCGGATGTCAGGGTGGGGGCCTGTCTGCTTCATGCCTCCTTGCCCTTAGGCCTGGATTCTGCTTGGCTGAGTGACTCGGGATGGGTTTGGCCAGCAGGTGAGGTCAGGGAGAAGTGGGCCCAGGAAAGAAGAAAACCGAAAGGCCAGTTGCCATGCAGTCCATGCGGATGCCCGGTGACCCCACCTGGGTCGGAGCAGAACAAGGTGCTCAGTCCTCCTGGGATGAGTTTTCTGAAAGAGTTACTCTTCCTTCCACGGAGCCCTCTGGGTGGATTAGAACACCCAGCCTGCCCCTGAGCAGTGGGTGTGCCACCCCCGGGAGCACCCAGCACCTCCGAAGGAGGGAGAACCTTTTATAAGGTTTTAAGCCTTTCCTGTCAGGCCATCTGTGCCCAGTGGATGCACCCTCACCCCATTTCTCTCTCTCTCTCAACACTTTGAGGCGCCTTCTCATTCCTGCCGGCCTGTGCTATGATGTTGAGCCGGAGTTTTCCAGTTGCTCTGTAATTGGTGAAACTACACCCGCCCCCACCCCAACGCCCCCAGCCAATTTTTTTTTTTTTTTTCCGTGAAGGCAAGGAGGCACCAAGGAGCCCAAATTTGAAAAAGCTGCCATCGGTGAGGGCCAGACACCTTCCCTGAGGCTCCCTGAGAGACACCTGCACTGCTACTGCTGTCCTCTGCC